GATTTACACCCTCAGAAACCCTGTACAGGGTCGCTATGGGTCGGAACCGACTCGACGGCACTTAACAACAACAACAACAACAAAAGAGTAAGACACCAAAATATCATCCTCCAAGGTAACAATCACATAGCTTTTGCTATATGCTTAATTCCAATCTAAATTTAACCCAAATTATATGCATCCATAAAGAGCTCTGGTAGTGTAGAAGTTACAAATCAGGCTGCTAACCTCAAGGTCAGCAGTTTGAAACTAGCATGGGAGAGAGATGGGGCTTTCTGCTCCCGTACAGATTTACAGTCTCACAAACACTGTACAGGTTTTGTACAGTCGGAACTGACTCCATAGCACATACCTACCACCACCACCATATGCATATGTGTATACAAAGGGGCTTCAAAAATTTCATGGACGCATGGAATTTAAAAAAATGGAATTTTTTCACAAACTTTTGGAAGCTCCCTTGCACATGTATGTATATATATGCATGTATATATGTATGAATATGTGTGTGGATAAAGGCATAAACATATGTGTATACATGCATATATATACATATTTAGGGAGTTCCAAAAAATGGAATAAAGAGATAATGGAATTGTTCCGTGAACTTTTTGGAGCCCCCTCATATAGGAAGGAGTCCTGATGTGGTACTGCAGGATAATGCGCTTGACTGCAAAGTCACTACCATTACCAGTGGCTCTGAAAGGGTTCACAGTAGACGGTCCTGGATAGAGTGGGAGAAAACTGTGACCTGAAACTTAAAATCATAAGAAAGACTTGGTCGGATAGACCAGTGGATCCCTCAGACAGTGGCTCTTAGTCACTTTTCAGGTCTGGTACTGAACTCAACCCCGTGGCTCAGTTTTTAGCCAAACAACAGACAGGTCTACAAACAAAAACAATAACACTAGGAAAGTGGTGTGGTGGTAGTGGTGTGCCGTGTAGTGTACTTGGTTCCAACTCATAGTGACTCTGCATAGGGTTTCTGAGGCTGTAAATCTTTACGGGAGCAATCGGCACTCCTTAGAACAATCAACCAGTTGTTGTTGTTGTTAAGCTCAGTTGAGTCAGTTCCGACCCACAGCAGCCCTGTATAGTGTTTCCGAAGAGCAGCTGGTGAGCCTGGACCGCCAACCTTGAAGGACAGCATTTGTTCAAGGACAAACCTCAGGAGGCAGGAAGGTTAAGAAAGAAGGAGTGGAAATGGGAAGAGGGATGTTGCCTTCTGGGAATGACAATCAATGACATGAACTAAAACGTGTACAAATTGTTATATTGAAACCTGATTTTCTCTGTTAATCTCCACCCAATTCACAATAACAAGTTTAAAAAAAAAATAAGAAGAAGAGATTCCTCCTACTTCTTTCCTTTCTAATCTTTACAAACAGCTGTCACTTCCCAATGGATTTTGCCAATTACATTTACAAAAATGAAGCATCCCCTTCAATGAGGCAACTTAGAAACCATCAGGGTCTAAGTGTCCCACCAAGCTAATGGGCAGCTCATAGACAAGACCGAACCTCTTGTTGAAAAGTCTACTTGTAAACAGAACTTTATGGCTATAAATATGCTTCAAATTAAGTGCTTTTCAACAAGATAGATGGCAAATATTTATATGTGCCATTCTTAGTGATATTTACAGAGAGAAATTAATTTTCACAATTACCCTAAGAGATAGTGCCTGCTATAAGCACGCCCATTTGTTGGATTTTTAAGATTGAGGCATAGGGAGCTTAAATGACTGCAGGCTATTTAACAAGCAGTGGAGGTAGGATTTGTACCCAAGTAGTCTAGTTTTGGGAGTCCTGGTGTGACACTGTGGGTTTAATATGCTAGGCTGCAAGGTCATTTGAACCACAAGGCAGGAGGTGCAAGCTCACCAGCTGCTCCTCGTAAACCCCATACAGGGTCGCTGTGAGTTGGAACCAACTCGACAGCACTTAACAACAGCAATAAATTCCAGCTTTTGGAGTCCTGGAGGGCACTGCAGGATACTGCACTTGATTGCAAAGTCAGTTTGAACTGCAAGGTCAGTGGTTCAAACTCACCAGCAGCTCCTCGGACCCCTATAAAGGGTCACTATGAGTTGGAACTGACTCCACGGCATTTAAACAACAACAACATTGCAGTTTTGGAGACCCAACCACTTACTTAACCCACTATGTTACCACTATAACAATTTGGTATCTTAAAAATCAACTTACATTTAGGATTATTGCTAAATTTGGATCGGATTCTTCCTAGAGATCCAGGCACTAAAATAACATCATCCACATTTGTCAGGTAATTGTTCAAGAACTCAGTTCTGCCACAGGTGACATCCTCCATTCCTGTGGGAAGGGAAAACAATAGCTGAAAATATTGAAAATTAAATCTTAAAGTTAATATATTAGCACAGACACTAGGGATTCAGTGTCTGCGACTGGTTGTTACCAACTTTGTGGGAGGTACCTTCTTTTTTGAGATTTTCTAATTTGGCTTTAAAATTTCTAATGATTCTTTATATGAATCTGTGATTTGGCATGTGTTTCAACCACATCATCTTGTAAGCACTAGAAGGCAGAATGCATTCTCTTGAGTATCATTTTAAGTCACTCAGCGAAAACTGCCAAGATAAAAGAAGTACCCATAATTAAAAAAAAAAAATCTATTTACACAGCCATTATGAAAAAGATCTATTTGCTACAAACTTTTCCCAGCTGGGGGTGGTGTAAACAAATGGAGTGTACCCATTCTGTGTCTTTTACAAAATGTAATTTCCCAGTTCTCTCTTCCATATATCTCCTGTCTTGAATACATAATCACTAGTCCTTGCTCTGTCTCCACTGGTGGCCTTGGATTGTTACTGACAAAACAATATTGGCAACAAGATATGAGAAAGAAAAATGTGAGCCCCAAAGACTGTTCAAAATGAAAAACAAAATAACCCTTAAAATAAGTTGTAAACAATGTAATGAGTCAGAACTGAAAGCTGGCAACCAAAACTTACAAAAGGGTCTACCTACTGCCCTGGAGTTGATTCTGACTCAACACAGCCCTATCCCAGAGGGCTTCCACGGTTATAAATCTACATTGAAGCAAAATCTACATAGAAGCAAACTGCCCTGCTTTCTCCCACACAGTAGCTGGTAGGTTCTAACCATTAACTTTCTGCTCAGCAGCTGAGTGCCTGAACCACTACTACCAGGTAATTCTATTAACCAACAAATATTCCTCCCTGCTCCAAAATTAAGTTTCTTGTCTCCCCCAAAGAAAATTGCTTGATTGGTGTTTAAAAACAAAACAACAACAACAACAAAATAAACTTTGAATAAGAGATAGTAGAAACGAGTCAAGACATTCTGTTGTCATTTTGGAAAGGTATTAAGTTTACATGGAACTATGAGTTTAAAGAGTCTGTGGTGGTACCACCCACAGGCACCTAAGAAGAAGGCCCAGGAGATCTACTTCCAAAAGGTCACAGCCCTGCCAACCCTATAGAATACAGTTCTGCTCTGTACACACAGGGTTGCTATGCGTCAGAATCAACTTAACGGCAACTGACAACAACACTGTGCAGGTTTAAAAGTGTTGCTTCGCAAAATCTAATGCTTGGGTTCTTCTCTAAGTGGGGAAATAAGAAATTCTATAAAGGGACTCCCTAAGGTTTTGGAATAAACAATACAAGAGACTCCAAAAAGTTTGTGAGAATATGGAGTTAAAAGATAATGGAATTTTTCCCACAAACCTCTGCCCCCTGGCATAACCCATAATTGCTTGGATCTGGTAAAATTCAGACCATCACTTTCTGATACCCAATGCCAGATACTTTCTCTTCAATATGAATTCGAATCAAGAGAGAGAAAAACATATCAAGAGAGTACAAGAGTTATCTGGCCTTTTAACTTTCAAACCCTCAAGAAGAAAAATAAATACAAGCAACAGTGTCACACAAGGCTTAAGAGGTAGAGTATAATTTGAACTCCCTTGACCATGCTAGTTTTTAAGAAAGAGATGTTCTGGTTTCCCCAAATGAAAAGATCTACTCATTTCAGAAACCTACACATGGGCAAGACAGGGGATTCATTCATCAGTGACTTCCAAGATGGATCAGCATGTGACTCCGTGGTACTCATCTACTCCTCCAACATCCGGCTCCAGCACATGACCTAAAGTTCTTGTCACCTCTGGGCAACTTAAACAGATCCAGCTGTGTCACATGCTCCAAATTCACTGTCCTGTCTACAGCTCTCCTCTAAGCCAAACTCATGAACATGATTCTGCTCAGAGTAAACATTCATTCTCCACAGATAAGCAAGTCTGTCCTTGCAGCTTTCTTCCTCTCCAGTTTCCCATCCAACTTCTACCCTCAGGAATTCTGGAGAGAAAACCTGAGGTGCAGAAGTTGAGCGCTTTGTCTAGGGAGATTTGCCTGCCATTCTTAACAGAATTGCCATAGTTCCACCCAAATTGCCAACCAACTTCCCTCTCCCAAGCCCCTCTATGGTGCTGTAGGATTAGCATTGAACTGCTAACTAGCCACAAGGTTGGCAGTTCAAATCCACCAGCCACTACTTGGAAACTCTATTCAGGGTCACTATAAGTCAGAACTGACTAGAGAGCATTTAACAAGTTCCTCTGCTAGGATGGCAGCCCACCATTCCAGGACCCCCATTTCAATTGGATCGTTTCTGGAATGCAGGAGACCTACTCTAAAACTCAATCTCCATTCTTGTGAAATAAGAATGCTCTCCTAGGGTCCCTGCTCCAGCCCTGTAATTGTATATTGCTTACAATGCTCTTCTTATTGTTAAGTGCTGTCAAGTTGGTTTCAACTCACAGAGACCCTGTAGAGGGTTTCCAAAGAGAGGCTGGTGGGTTTCAGGTGCCAACCCTGAGGTTCGCAGTCCAGTGCTTATTCTACAGCATCACACCAAGATTGTTGATCACCTCATAAAAGGAGTCACAGATTTCTCAACTTTTAAAATTAACTTAGAAAAATTAGGAGTCAAAAATCAATGAAATGGCACACAACAAGAATGACTTCTCCAGCATGGGCCTTAGTTTCCTTGAGTGAAGACGAGGAAACCATTCTATTTATACATTATTCCTCGGACAAGAATCCTAGGTGTCTGGCTCCTTATCATATTTGGACTTATTTCTCAACCACATCTTTGTAGTGATGTCTGGCACAGATGTCCTATTATCACCTGCTGGCATCACATTCATAGGGAAAGCCATGAACATCATAGCAAACTGTCTGCAACACTTTAATAAAAGACAGACTTTTGTACCAAAACCTTTCCTGGAAAGAATATAAAGATGCAGGAAGTCCCTGCTTTCAGTCAAATTGAAGCCCAGGTCCTCTCAGCGCATACATATCAATGGTGGCCTGATGGCTTCCTTTCCCACCCTGAAAATGAGGAGAGGATATGAGGAACACAGCCAGGCTTTCTGAGAGCAAGGGCTCCTTTCCTCAACCCCACTACTGATGGATCTGCCCCACCAGCAGAGGAAAAACAAAGCTTTACCATGATCTCCAACAAAGATGACGTTTACACAGCGATGCAGCTTTAATTGTTTCAGTCCATCCATTAATTGCCCCACGGTTTTGTCAATTTCCCTCAGAGGATTTGTCATCTGGAAAAAGGAGCAAGTTAGTCCCTAGAGCTTTTTTTTTTTCCTTTTCAGTTTCTCATAAGTCTTTCTTCTATCTCTAGAGCATTCTGGAAAGAACAAACAAACAAAAAAACACCAACTTCAGGCCCAGAGGCAGAGCTTTATCTAGAGAGATCTACCTGCCATTCTTAACAGAAATCTGTTCTGAACACTTTATATTTGCATTCCTTCCAGAGATTTAAAACATCTTCTCATCCACTTTCCTTAAGGATTCTTTTTCATATAAAAAAAAAAAATAGCAAATACTAGGGGACTTTTAAAAGTTTGTGGAAAGATTCCATTATCTTTTCATTCCATTTTTCCATGAACTTTTTGAAGTCCCCTCATATTACTAAGGGACATTCTTTTTCAGAGATTTTTCAAGAAAGGTCTCATCAGACAAATAAATGGCCTTCCTAAAAGAAAACAATGTTCTTTAAATACCAAGAATGTTGAGAGTAACAGAAAGACAGGTAAAAGCACATGTTCCCTGGGTAAAAGTACATGAGAAATTGGACCGTGGCAAGAAGATGCAGGCTACATATATCAAAAGCAGGTGATGAGATAGTAGCCTTCCACAGGATGCTGAATTGGCACATCATCAATACAATGAGATCCACCGAAGGTCCCAAAAGACTCCACCAGCAATTTCTGAGGGTAATGGATTCTTAACAGAAGAATCTACTCTTTAAGAAAAAAGTCACTGTTTCTCAAATTAGCTCCTTTAAAGGTTAATTTGAGTGCAACAGGAATCTACAAGAGTCTTAAATGAAGTGAGTTATTGAGGCTATTCTAGAAGGTTTCTTATGTAGCCTAATGAAGAAAGAAAACTCAGTTGTTCTCTGAAACATATTTCCAAAGCCTCCGAAACATAATCCATCTCTCATCTTGTTGCTTCAAATGGAAACTTCTAAATGCATGCATGCTCCCACACTCCCACATACTAGAGGCTTCCCTTCCACTCTCTCATGTCCAACTCGGCAGCGGGAAGATTTTCAAGAAAGATCTCAGCAGACAAATAAAAACTTGACAACATTTTAGATAAATCATGCAACCCAGCTACAGCCATGCGTCTACACCCAAGATGACTGAGATAAAAACAGAGGGATCGCACATCATTTTGACTCAGACACATAATATTATCTTCCATTAGCATCTTCTCAGATGAATCAAGACCTTCCCTCATAGACGTTCACCAGTGAAATCAGGTGCAGGCTTTTTCTTCAAGATGAGCCAGTGTTTCATATCCTGCCCCAACTAGTAAACTGCAATGGCAAGTTTCAGAATAATCTGTATAATATAATCTGGATGAACTAAATGCTGTAGGACTAAGTGGCTTTACTTCTGAGAAAACCATGTCCTCCTCTGAGATCTTTGGCTAGGTAAAAGAATACAAAATATACAACATATGTTGCTTCTTGGCAAGGCCTTCCTCTGCTTTGACTCAAAAGACAACGAAGGTAAAATCAAGTACCTACTTCTTAGTAATCAGCTGAGACAATCAGCAATAAGATATTGCTTCAAAAGTATTTGGAGATTTCGGAAAAAGTAATAACATTTAGGATGTTCTGAATATACTGGAAAGGATAGATATTACTCACATCACTCTGAGAGGAAAAACCACGCAGTGTTTTCTGACCATTGTCTTCTTTTTCTTACTGTCTCAACCATTCCCTTATCTATCATCTAAAAACTTTTTTGATCCCTGAAGGTTTGGACCACTAATGTAAATCACTTCCCTGTTGGGTTTTATTTTACAGTCTCTTTATGAACTCTCTGCAGCATTACTGGATAATTCTCAAGATTCAAGCTTACAAACTATCATGGCAAATTTTGTGAATCAGTACAAACAAAATCAACAGCCTTCTGAACAGTCACTCAAGCCTAACGGTTAATTTGAGTTTTAGGACCGCTAACTGGAGAGAAAGCTAAAGTCCCCTTTCTTTGTCTTGCTCAGGCAGAGTTCGGGAGTCTTCACATCAGTGTTAACCTCTGAAGTGTCAGATTCTTCTGGACTCAAAGCCAAGGACGACACACCAGAGTTTTTCTAAAACTCATTCAGCAGATTTTCAAGCCAAGAACTGAGGGAAACCATCAACTCAGGTCTGCCCGCCACAAAGCTTTGGAACAATAGATACACTTACTTTGTCCTGACGTGCTTCCGCAGCATAATGATCCATCCTAGGTAACTTTCTTCTTCTTTTCTTTGGAGGAGCAACTGGTCTTTCCTGTCTCCTCTTAGGGACAACTTTCCTCTTAGGTCTCTTAGCCGGAGTAACAAATGAACCATAACTACTGTCCTGTACTGGCGGATAGAGATGTCTGGACTCAGAAGTCGTCTGTCCCTCAGGGTCAGATAATAAAGCTCACACTTTGCCACTTAGGGGCATCAGAGTCTTAGAAAAACTAAGACTCCTTAAAGTGATGAAAAGTTGGTATAAGGGATGGTTTAGGGGACTCTGGAGAGAGAGAAACCTTCTCAATTGCTCTTCATGTTTCTTCACTGAGAACAGGAATATAATTTACAAAGCCAGTCTCTCGAAGCTCAGGAGCCTACTCACGGATACTCTGGAAGGTGCTATAGAAGAGAAGTTCTACATTCCATAACTCTTATATTAGGGAGTGACTGGTCCTTATCTTTGGAATGTTCTCCATTTACAAAGTACTGGCTTAAAACGGAACCAGAATACTAGTAATCTGGTCACTTCAAGGTGGTCATGGGGTTCATGTACAGGATTCCAATTCAGAATCTGACAAGTATCTGCTCATACCACCAAATACATCGAAGAACTGTCACCTCCATTGGCAAGTATCAAGTAGAAAAAATTAAAAGCCAAAGAAGGAGTGAAAAAGCTTTATGAGTATTCTTTGTTAATCATGAAGTTATTTCACAAATCAGGGCTCTCAGAAGGAAGGAGACGGTCTTATGGACAATTTAGGCACCCAATACAGATGAAATCTAAGCAAAAGAGTAACTACAAGTAGAACTCTCTCTCAAAAATTCTCTTTTAAAATTAGGTCAAATTTTAAAAGTCACCAAAATCTCTACATACAAGATGGACTTATACACTCTATCAGAAACCCCAATGGGGGAGGCGGGCAATGTTATACTTTTTGTTTTCCCTTTTAAATCCAGGCTGACACATAAACTAAGTAAGGGAGATAAACTTTTGGGACTTCCAAATGTCAGAGAAAAACAGGCCCCTGATTTGCTGATGGTGCAAAGGTGAATTAAAGCTGCAAGCACTGCTGTTTTACTTAGGCGGCTTCTCTTGGTTGGACTGTTCAGAGAGTCATTCGGATGCAGGAAGGGAAGAGTAACAATGTTAGTGTATCCAAGAGGGACATCTGCCATGCGATCCCACTGTTCCAAGGCAAAGCGACTGCTAAGGCACTTCCATTTCTGTCTCATCCTGTCTTCCCGGCGAAGCCATTAAAAGACACAGCCCCACAGACTCGGGTTTAGGTTTGGTTTGGTTTTTAATGCTTCTAGTTTTTAGTTAAACTTCCATGAGAAGTGCAGCACAAGGGAGAAGAGGGTTTCCCATGTCAAGGTCACCGAATACATTCCGCTAGTACTCACACTGGCCCATCACACACTAGGCTATTTTCAAGAGACCTCAACATTCCGAAGACTCTAGAGGCGAGCCCTTCCAATGGCAGTGGGTTAGAAGAGCAGCAGGGAAACAGGGTTTAGCAAGATGGGCTTTCATCCAAGGATTATATTGCATGTATCTCCTCCCTCGAATGTTAGAGGTCAACCAAAGCTAAGTTCTCATCAACCAGCCATACTTTAGCCTGACTTGAGAAGATTCAGCCTGAGGTTATTTAAAGGATGGAAAGGTAGAGGAGCAAATCTCCCTGCTTTTCAGAAGGATACTTTGCCATCTGAAGGTGGGAACTAGCCAGCCAAAGCTCTGCCTCTAGGCCTGGAAGAGCAGCCGAACGAAGAGTCACTGAGAAAGCGTAGAAGGTCAAAAAGAAGACTGTGCCAAAAATCAAAAGCAAGCATATTTTGGGACATTCACCATTACACTATGAAACCAGGAGCAATAGTCCATCATTACTTGAAGCTATTGGCTCAAAGTTTGGTCATCTCATTTAATAGCCTTTGAGAATGATTTTGAACAAATTACACTCAAATACTAGATGAATTAAACACCCACATCAACAGGACTCTTCATATTGTAGTAAGCAGCATGTTGCTAGAAAGAATCATTTCAATTAAACTTCAAACACAAGGCATTTTTCTCATCATATATAAGAGACAACACATTTCTAGTTTTTAAAAATAAACTTTCAGCTTACATAATCTTTGCATACACACAGATGTATATAGAGAGCAACATCAACAAATTCATTTAGAGCAGAAGAGTTTGTCGATTTACTTTGGTTTTGTGGTTTGATTTTTGTTGAAATAAGATTTCAAGAATCAAATGAGAAATAGTGGAAACCTGAAAATATTTGTCTTATGAAAAGTAACCAGGTTAGGATGATTGAAGAGACACTCAAAGATTCCTAACCAAGAGTGTCTAACCCAGAGACTATTGAAGAATACCCCTAGTGCAATAACTAGTGATTGTGAAAAGAACATTGCATAACTATTTTCAATTTTCTATTTAAAAATAGCATACGACAAAAATCCCTGTTTGTATGTTTATGAACAACTCTTGATCCAGAGCCATAATTAATGCAAATTAAAGCAACCATTATCTTCCTTTAGTCATTCATTGTTCAGTACTTAAAGAAAAGAGTGCTAATTCATTTCTTCATTAATATATACACACATACATTTTCAAATAGATCATTGTAACTAAAAATACATATTTGGAATCCAAAGATAGTGCCTCGGGAAAGGCCATGCATATTAAGTCAGAGAACTTTGAAGGTAACTTTCAAGTTATATACATGTATCCTGTGTGAAAAAAAAATCAAATTTTGACACAAAGACAATATAATTTGAACATACGTTTATCAGTTAGATTGGTAGTCTGAACATCTGAGGCTCTGTCTACAAGTTCGCCACTTATCAGTCATGTTCCTGACCAGCCCCTAACTTTTCCAAGTACCAGCGTCCATGTAAAAGAATGATGATAGCATCTCTGTGTTGCCCACCTCATGGGATCTTTTAAGGGACATTGTTATCTAAGCAAAACTGAGTCTTTAAAAAGCGCACATGTTATTAATAAGCGCGGTCAAGTCAGTTCAAACCCATAGCGACCCTGTATAGGGTTTCCAAGGAGCGGCTGGTTAGTTTGACCTTGCAGTTCAAACCGACCTTGTGGTTGAGTGCTTATCCTACAGCACCTTATGTGGAACTATTTAATTATTCTTGTTTTTTCAACCTTTAAATAAAATGTAGTTCTTTTATTCATGTTAGATCAATTTCAAAGCATGGCATACTGAAGATAAAATACCTATCCTTCCTTGCTCTGGCTTTCTACCTGGCAAAGTAAAATTTGTTTCATGTATGCTGATGTTTATCTCATTTCATCGTTTGTGTTTTAATCATGGCAACACTAAACATCATAGAAATAAAGGAAAAAGAGCATAAAGTTAAATAACTTCAATGATGTAAGACAAACTAAGAATGGTTTCACATGGCCATTAGTATCTAGTGCTTAAAAAAAATCACCACACAACAGATAACCTGTACACCAGGTTAAAACAATCAGAAATACATAGGGCTCCTCTTTATTTAGACATGATGCATTTTGCTCAAAAATATTTAAACCAATATACACATACCCAAGACTTCATTTTGCTTGGTTCCACAACCAACACCCATGGAAGCAGCAGCCAAGAAATCAAAAGACATCACATTAGGCAAATCTGCTGTAAAAAGACCTTTTAAAGTGTTGAAGAGCAAAACAATTAGTTTAAGGACAAAAGTGTGCCTGACCCAAGGCATGGTATTTTCATTTGCCTCATATGCATGTGAATGTTGGATAATGAATAAAGAAGACCACAGAAGAATTGTTGTATTTTAATTATGGTGTTGGAGAAGAATTGTAAAAGTACCATGGACTGCCAGAAGAACAAATCAATCTGTGTTGGAAGAAGTACAGCCAGAATGCTCCTTAGAAGCCAGGATGGCGAGACTTCATCTCTCTATACTTCAGACATATTATCAGAAGGGACCAGTCCCTGGAGAAGTACATTATTGTGGAGGGTCAGTGGAAAAAAGGAAGACCCTCAATGAGATGGACGGACACAGTAGTAACAACTATGGTTGAAACGTAACAATTGTGAGGATAGCACAGGATCCGTCAGTGTTGGTTCTCTTATATATAGCATCACTGTGAGTGGGAACCAAATCTATGGTACCTACCAATAACAACATCTCTAGCTCATACTTACGCAGAACATAGTGACCTTAGTGGCAGCCCACGTGTTGCCTTGGAGTCCTTGTGTGGTGTTGTAGAATAAGCACTAGACTGATAGCAGCAAAGTCAGAGGTTCAAACCCACCAGTCACTTCACAGAAACCCTATACAGGATTGCTATGAGTTGGACTGGATTTGATGCCATTTTAACAACAACTTATTGTCACAAACTATTAGAGAACTTAGTGTTCCATCAACAGAAATTTTCTTAACAACTTTTTGTCCCAAATCAAGTTTTATTACATTGATGTAGACCTTAGTACCTATAAAGAAAAAGAGGTTAAAAACCCTTTAAAATATGAAAAGCTTTAGATTTGCAAAACCAATCATATGTTCAAATGATTTATTCTGAAATTCCAGAAAGAATTCCATCTCTATAATGGAAAAAGAACATTAAAAAGAAAAATTCACCCACAATCATTCTTTTCTCACTACCTACTGGTATGGCACTGTAGGATCAGCACTGGACTGTGAACCACAAGGTCAGCAGTTCAAACCTGCTCCTTAGAGACCCTATACAGGGTCACTATGAGTTGGAACTGACTCAAAGACACTTAAAAACAACAAATCTTAAATTATGCTGGACACTGTCTTAAAACAGGTTGCCCTCTACTAAGATTTCTGAATGTTGGTTCACACTGCTCTGTTAAGTGATTCATTAAACAGCGTATTTCTCTCAATTAAGAATTCATTTCACTTTTTGGAGTGATGATTTTATTAACACTTTCAATTGTGTTTATGGTTTTACAGGTGTAGACACGTGTGAAAATGTATATTAAATGCCAATGCTTTAACACATGACGAGGTGACTGCACTTACTAAGGCTATTGAGGGGCACCTGTGCTGCCCTGCTCTCAGAACTGCAAGAACCGAATTATCATTTTGAGGAAGCTAAAACTCAGCTGCAATGCTTAGTATTACATGTTGAATTACAGGTCAGGGAAGACATGTGCCCATGTCTTCCCTGACCTTTCACCTTATGACTGAGCCTGCAGGGCTGGGAGACATTTCATTTCTCATTGACACCAAGTTTAGGATATGTTTGAATACAAAATCAATCTGAAAATCAAGTTCCTGCAATTGATAGGCATGTTCTGGATATTTCAAAGGTTCTTAGTCTAGTCATTGAAGTTCTGGTGTGGCGCTGTGGGTTAGTGCACTGAACTGCAAAGTTGGTTTGAACTGCAAGGTCGGTGGTTCAAACTCACCAGCCACCCCTTGGAAACCCTATACAGGGTCGCTATGGGTTGAAAGTGTCATTATTGACTATGAATAAACTTTGTAGGTTCAAACTATCCCAGAGATGCTATACAAATTAGATCCGAAGATCAGGTAGCCCGAAAGTATAGGTTCTCAGGCAGATGATAAGTTACTAACCTCAGAGCCGAAAGGACCATATTTGTGTCCAGCGAAATCAGGTTGCTCCGAATAGAAGGCATAGACTGAAGGCCTGTGAGCAAATCAAAGTTCATTATCTCCCCAAAAACATAGAGAACAACTATCTCTTAAGATTTTTTTAATCCTCTCAAAGATCTGCCAAACACTGGTTTTATTTGATGGGAAACTCTTCACTCTTATTAAATTTTTATTCTTATTGCTTCTACAACCACCATCCCCTTCCTACCTCTACTGTGTAAACATTACGGTCTTCAAGTATCAAAAATCACAAAGGAAAACATCAAAGTGAACTCAGCTCTTTGATGCTCAAGATACTAAAGCCCAGCCCAGTGATAACTCCCATGGGACAGTCACTCCGCAGCCAGAAAGAAAGACCCCTTTAAAGGTGAAAGTCAGTCTTCATGTCTCCCTAATTCTTGGGAGGCTGCTGGTTCACTTATCAAAGCCCCAAACTCCCTTAGCTCTGATGTCAGAATCAGGATTAATAGTTGCAGTGATCCATGTAATTAAATGGTCCCCAGTAACCAACGTTCATTGTATCCTTCTTAGGGAAGTAATGCTTAAGGCTAAGAGCCATAAAGTGTTTAATAATATAAAATCTTGGCTGTGGTTCTATTTCACTGTCCTTCTAGCTTGTCACCCAAGTCTAACCTAAGATGGAAATTTACTGAAGGCAGCAGAGGGAAAGGCGGGAGAAGGGAACAAATACCTCTCGTTGTCTGGCAGAGTGAGCCACTGCAGGATGGTTAATATTCTCCGCTCGTGAGGGATGACACTGCGGAGCAATAGTAAACACAGCATGCTGTTAAGTTGCATCTCCACCAGCCCCAGCGGATGAGTACTTGTTCTTGCACACAGGCCAAACGCACTCGATTTCCCACAATGTGTTTTCACTTCGGAGTAAGTAAAAGACCCTCTTTAGCATTTCTTCTTCCATTTCCATTTGCAACCTATTACACTGCTCAGCCTCTGCCACAGAGACAAGACTGGAAACTCTGATTCAGAGCCAAAAGGAGCAGCCCTTCTTGCTCATCAGAGACTCTGCTACAGGATGTGGCAAGGCGGACCCACCACTGCAGTTTAGTGGGTAAAAGCATGAGCTTGGCCACAGACAGACCAGTACTTAATCCCCAATCTGTCACTTCCTGGCTGTGTAACTCTAGGTCTCTGGACCTGCAGTCAGCATCAATTTACACCATCTGTAAAATAAAGATAATAGCAAGCTCGCTGCCCAGCTTTGCTATAAGATTACGTAAACTCAGTGGCACGAAGCAGTCCTAGTACATAATTAGTGCTGAAAGACTTGCTGTTTTTAATGAAAATTTTAATTAGTTATAGCACTGCTTCTAATTAGCTATATAGCTTTGGGAAACTTTTATTTAACCTGAAACTTTTAGTTCTTCTAAAAAATACAGGTTAAGGAAAGTATTGTTGAAATTCTCTTCCAGCTCTATACAAATCTATCACGAATGTTGTTGTTGTTGTCAGGTGCCATCAAGTCAGAACCGACTCATAGCGACCCCATGCACAGCAGAACGAAACAATGTCCGATCCTGGGCCAACCTCACTACCGCTGCCACACTTGATGC